AAATAATACAACTAATATTATACATGTAATATTATATTATAATATTTACATGTATTATGAAGTACACATATCTATTGCATATTTGATATATATTTTAGTTGAAATTTGAAAATGTTTAATAGCTGAATATTTGGAATTAATCGATATAAACGATTTTATAAAACTTTCGTCAATATTAGCACTATCAAATTTGTAATACTTGAATACAAATCATACGATAATATTATTTCACAGTTTTTATTATAGTAATAAAGTTAATTTATAAGTGTCCTCCCACAATATGCCTTAAACAGTATAGAATAGAATTTTAAAATAGAGATACCAAAGTACTATTATACAAACACGAAAGTATATTTTATTTTGTCATTAGACAAGATTAAAGTTTTAAAAGCAACGATTTGTCATAAAATCTCTTTTTTTTGTTTTCACAAGAGAATGAATAATTTTGGATTGGATGAATTAGAGGAAAAGTTTAAACTTTATGATTAGACTTTAAAATGATTAAGCACTGTTTAAGATTTTGAGTGAAACAAGGAATGTATTTATATATATATATATATATATAAATTACAATGATAAACACAACATTGAAACACAAATAATAAGTATTTATTTTTAAAATAATGTTCTATCTTTTCAAAAATCTATTTAAGTAATAATATTTATCAGACAATTAATTAAAATTTAAAAACTGTAGATGTTAAATATAAACCGAATATTTAATTCAAGTACGAGACGTGTAAGTTATATACTCGTAAGTACACTTGTACAAATAAACGTTATTAATTACTGAATATTTTCTGAGTATTATTATCATCTTAAAGAGGAAATCGCTATATTTGGTGCAGTACACATGATTATAATAAAAATGTTTAAAATATGAATTGATGAATAGTTAAATAAATACATGAATGTGATGCATACATCGTGTAGGACGAACTTAAATTTTATTTATCGCCATGTATGATGATACTTCATCGTTATTCATAGAGGTGGAAGGATTTCTGTATATATTTGTGTGTTATCGCAGAGTATTAACGTAAGTAATTGTACCCGCAGATAATATCTGCAATTTTTAAATAATTTGATGTGTAATTTTTTTAATTTAAAATGAATAATAATCAATTACCTTATTTTAGTACGATATACAAATATAATTACTAAAAACAGTAGTTTTATATTAAAATTTTTCTGAAAATCAAAGTTTAATTTTTCTTCAGAGTGCAAAAGAAATATTCTACAGTTGCAATGATAAACATTAGAAGTAGAAGTATGGACACTGATTTTATTTTCTCCCATAGATTATATGAGAAATCAGAGATTTAAGTATATATTTATTAATTTAATTTTTAATAACCTACAAGGTTAGATTACTGATAAACATAATCAATGATGCCATGATGATATTACTAAATTGAAATCGACTGTTCGTCGTGCGTAATGTGGGGATTTAATTTACATAATTTCATTCGAAGCTATTTAAGAGAGCCCATAAGTAGAAAATCCTTAACCGATAAAAACTGTCAATTTTTTTATTATTCGTCATTGCAGGACTCAGTCAGGTAAATGTCAGGCGACGTAAGGGATCGTATTCAATCAAAGTGACTGTTCGCATGCTGCCTTTAACGAGCGTGGTCAATGACCACCGACACTGGTGACATTTTGTTTCGATAGAGATGTATACATCTGTATGTAGGTCTTCTGGTCTAGCGACCCATTATACAAGCTTCGTTATCATTATTTTTAATTTCTCAAACGACATTTAAACATCCCACAGAAACCATTTGGAGTATTAAACGGACACGCGCAGTTAGACCCTTTCAGAATCGTTAATTACCGTTATGGACCTATACACATACACTACGTACATAAAATATACACACGTGCGTACAGTACATACGTATATGTATACGCGTGAGTGCTTAATGATTTTATTCTCGAATGTACAATAAATAATAATACATTTTCGAACCGCTGCGGATCTAATGATGTATAATATTTTTTATACAACTGATGGGAAATTATTATTCGCATGATGTTAATAAAATACACCTGCGGAGCAACCATATTTTTTTGCGCAGGTTTTAAAACACGAGGGCTACTACGAAAAAAAAAATACTAGTTGCTTACAAACGACTCGATTGTCTACTACATGCCGTTATCTCGCATGGTCGAGTTTAAACGAGATTAAAATTCGAAATTGTGAAAAGCCGCGAGCCGCAGTAGCGAAAGGGATTTTACGTCGAGAGTTCGTTAACAGAACGTATGGTTGTTATAATTTTATTTGATTTATGTACGGCGAACTGCACTAGGCCGAAATTCAACTTTGTTGTTTTTTTTCCTTTCAAAATCAGCCGTCCACCAATCATACAAGGTTGACCGTTGACGACTGCGGCGGCGTGCAGCAATGCGGTCGTAATCGTAAACGGGTTTTGTTTTCGTGGCTGACAAATGCATTTTTGCGCGGTATAAACCAGAGTACAAACGATATATGTATATATATATGTATATATGCATGTATACGTAGGTATATTGTGTATTGTACATTTACGATACAAAAACAAAATAAAATGTCAATGATACGCGGAGACGGTTTCGTTCCCGTGTATATTATAAGTCAAATTAATCGGTTTCGTGTCGGATAAGTCAGCGATAGAACTTGTTAATAAGGATATTACGTATGTATAATTTGTACCCTGGCAGTGGAGATAAGTTACCGCATGTGTAACACGCAGATCGAATAAGTTTACCGGTAGACGTGTTTTATGTATATGCAGTTTAGTCATTGCGTATTGTATACAAACGTTATTTTACGATGACCATAAACAAGAAGTTTAAAAACACGACGACGACGAAGGATTACGTTTTAAACAATAACGAACAAGGCGCAGGGATTGTAATCGGCATTACACATCGTTTACCTAAAGCTGTACGCGAGTATACAAGTGATACCATTGTTTGTGTATGCCTACATTGAATCTACTCCTCGAGCCCATTTCATTGTTGCTTGACACCGCGCCGTAGAATTCCGTATACTTATTGTAGGCCAGAGTTCACGGGGATAATAACCATACGGTCGTGTAAACATATTTGACATGACAAATGATGTTGAGTGCATTATATAATATGCGATCGAAACGAAAGAATTCCATGATATATATTCGACTCATTCCGTGTTTATTTGCGTACAACGATATTGCATCGTCGAGACGAGGCGCACAAATCGAACGATAATTTCATTAATTTAATTTTGAAAACGATATATTCACTAGTTTGTCGACGCTAGTTTTAACACGCGTTAAAATGATTCCCTAAGGTACAAAGCGGCACATTTCGATAACGTTCGTTATTCCATTTGATTCCGCGCGTGCACGTGCAAGTGATCTACGCAGGAGTTCTATCTAGAGTTTTAATCCTCCTTCGAAATGGTTTCTTCCAAATTTTTGCGTCAATCATTTTTCGGATGATTTTTACATCAATCTCTAACACAGTGAAAACCCAAACCAAACTGACGTCCTATGCACGGTACTGCAGCAGTGTGCGCACGCATATGAGTTCGGGAGTTACGAATTCACGAATAGGTATAATTACGTCGGTGCAAATATCAAGGTACCCGAACCATGTTTCCTGTTAATTGTTCGTCGTCCAATACGTGATATTTAGCGATGAAAATTGTCTTTGCATTGTGGTACTTATGATCAATATGATTACCTCGAACACGTATTGTGTATGAAAAAAAAAAATCACCTAAACATTTCTTGCGCGCGCATATTCCGAGTGTCATTGCGACCACCCTAAGGCCAACTCTTATCGTTCGGATCCGACTGCTGCGTTCCGTTCGAAACGATTTCAATGACACACTGGCTATGCACTGTGTAATGTTATTATCCTCGCAAACATTACAATATGCGAAAACCGCGTTCGCATATTGTAACGTACACAGAGGCCGAACGAAGTTATTCGAAACGCGCGTGGTTTTGCCGCAGAAATATAATTGGGTAAACGCTGTTCGTTATGTGCGCGTGTACTGGCCGACCCCAGCACATAAACAGTCGTTCTTTTCATACGCCTCGTTCCATAACCGACCACGTAACGTAATAGCGTATAATAACGCCGGCCTGGCACAGTTTTGCCCGAAGACTTTCTACGGATTCGTTAGTACGGGTCGGTGTGCTCATGTTGTACATGCGTACACGTAGAGTACGCATTTTCTTCGACACGGTTTTTTTGTTATTTTTCTCCCGTTTATTCCACCGCACATCCTACGGCAGACGAACCGAACGCGTGATTTATTACGCCACACTTGCGCGTTTAATATTACAAGTAACGTATAATTTATCGACGGGCGCGGGTGTGTTTACATATTATTTTATGTGCTACGTCGATGTAGGTGCACGATCCGCAAGGGATATGATTACGACGTGAACGTCCGGAGAGTTCAACGGGTCGACATCTGCGGTGGACAGAGTATACTAAACACATTACATAACATAATACCTATGTGGTGCTACAGTGTTCTGCTACAACGAAATCCGACGGTTGGCCAATGGACGATAGTAGGTTTATCGCAATTAATCCAAACCATAAGATTATTTCCTTGGTCGTTGATCACCGATATATAGTTAAGGTCGAGTCGGAACGATCGCTCGGGTACCTAAATCGTATAGCGACTGGCTTAACACCGAGTATCGAGCATATCGAGGTCAAAGGGTCAACAGGGGTTGTGTATGCCTAGGTGGCCATGGCGGCGTAAACATTTTATTTCACGGGGCAAAGATCCAAGCTAACAGTCGACCACTATCGCTCGGCGCGTTGCAATTCACAAGACCGCCACGGTATATCGTTACTTCGCTATCCGTAGGGCCGGACGAACCCCGTGCAGTCGAGACCCGAAGGGGAGAGCTACCACCCTAATGAGTACTAACTTCATCGCGCCACCACTGTTAGTAGGTAAACATTTAAAGGGAGGCGATGAGCAGCATTACGTATGATCAACGTACCTCTGACTAGGCGAAAATTATCCCTTCGCCTTTGGATTTTGTTTTTTAAGTGGCGCGTCCGGTCCTCTATCGACAACGGAAAGAGGGTACGGTGACGGCGGCACTAGACGATTCACCAGCGGGAAATCACTAGCGGCGCACGACTAACATGGCGTTGTTATCGAACCGCGGTGGAGCGGCGAACGCGTCGTAACCGGCACACCCGCGCACATTCGCACGACTGTTATTCTCACGGCGACACCGATTTGGCGAGCGAACACGACGACGAGGAGAGACGAGTCGGCGCGAGAGAACGGGTCGTGATATAAAACGATTTCGCACCCCGGCGGTATACGGGCGATAACGACGCGATGGCGCGAAGTGATAATGGACGAAAAGAGGGTAAAACTTGTAAGCAACGGAGAGATAAAGAGAGGGAACGGGATAAGGAAAAAGCGAGCGAGCGTTAACGCGCGGTAAACGCGGCGACCACCAATTGCAGCGGCTTGCAGCGCACACAGGAACTAACTGGCCGATCGGCGGCGGTCACGAAATACGGCACAAGACCGCGTCGCGCGCACGCACGCGCACGAACCTGTTGATCATCTTGAATCGGTTGCATTCTTAACACTCCGCCACCACCGCCACCAACACCACCGTAGCCACCGCCACCGCATTCCATTCGTTGTTATCAGCCGACGCCGCCTCGCCCGGCCGGGTGTAACAAAACTAACGCCCCACCGCTCGGCGACCAAACACCACGGAGTATATGAAACGAACGGTACGCCGTGCAACCGGGTTCCTCGATCGCGCCGCAGACCGGTTCGTCGAAATCTCCAAGCGTCCGCTACATCAACACCGCGATCTCGAGTCGATCGTTAACGACCGACCGATAATCCTGGAAAATCGAAGACAACACCACCTCGATGGTCTACGATCTACGACCGCTCTCGGGATACTACTACACATGTAATGTAGGTCTTAAAGCGGCAATGATTCGCAGAGGGAATGGTCAACTTCGAAGGTGGGTGGAGATGATTTTTTTTATTATTATTTATAAGGGTAGCGTGAAATAAACAATGAGAAATATTGATCTTGACTAATATTTCACCACGATGATCATAATGTTTTCTAGAAGGAACAAAAAGATAATTGATAGACATTCGTTTCGTGAAAACAATATTTTAATGATTTTCTTCATAATCTGCTTTAAAATAAAATAGAAAACAGAAAATATACGCGGTGTTGTGTACTGAAAAAAATATACGTGCGCATTAAATGTCCGGCATATTAGGCCAAGAATATTTTAAACTATATACGTACTCTGACGCAGCCTGCACACCCTGGCCTTCCCCAAATTAAGCCCCATGTAATATGAAGGCTGCCTGCACGACTATGAATATATTAAAAATAGCAATCTGAGAACACTTACAATTGTTAAATATTTTATTACTATAATCAGTTTAGCCATTCAGTTACCTACGATGCTTGGAATGTTAGAAGTTTCTTTTATCAAATCAAAATATCATTTATTTAAGCACGTTTATTACGTATTTTGTTTGAATATTATATTCCGTAGGCGATGAGGTTGATACAAATATTAAAACATGAAATTATCGATGGTAAAGTGTTGGTTATCCTATCCTTTTAACAAAATATATATTTATTCATTTATTTTTTATTTTTGTATAACTGCAACAGTTTAGAAACCACACGCTTTAACAAACTAAAAAAAATACAGACATAACGCTGCTGAGATAAAAACGTTTATAATCTAAGGAAGTGCTCAGAAAATATTGAAATAATCTTAATATATACCTATATATACTTCGGCTACAATTATATCTATGTACATTTGTTTTATATCGTGAGAGAATGTATAGATGACTACAAATTTGTTGTTACACCCACTTAAAATACACACATTTTATTTTGCGTTATGATAAGGATTTCTGTTAAGGTGTTGTAAAAATCATCTACTGAGTGTTATATTTTGCTATGCATAGTTTCGAATACATATATAGTTCACAACAATACAATAATAAAATTAGTTGTGAAATAATTTTTTATTATCTCTTTTAAACAGCTTTTTAAGGCGATTAAATGTATTATATTTAATTTTATACATACCACACTTAATGTTGACTAACGTAGCTCTGAGGAGATAAGGTAAATCTCTAATACATAATATTTAATAGCATATTTTATAAAATATGTGAATTTCAGTGAACACAAAAAATAAATTTGCTATCGTTTTCTCATTCAAAATAGTAGTAATATAGAAGTTTTTATTATTGTTGACTATGAACGATTACAGTGTATTCATTTTATAACGATGTATTTTTTAATTTCGAGTCAACTGTATATGTACCCATTCATTTTAACAGCATAAGAGTGTCAAAACGTACTCATTAAAATTTAAAACTTCTATCTAGACCTATCATTATTACCATTGCCTTTGTATCACTGACCGAAAAGTGAAATGTTAAAAAACAAATATAATCTATAATGTACTAACGGATTTTAAGATTTACATTTGTAGTTGATTTTGGTACATTAATATTTTTCATGGTATATTAGTTAATACTGGTAAATATTATATTATTTTATTTAAAGTTTTGATATTTTTTTTTAATCTTTATAATAATGGCATATATTTTGTGTACAAATATTTTAATCACATGTTGACTGCCATTATAATGTAATTTGTGAATAGGTATTATTAAAATACCATTTATCATTTACACTCTTTAAATTTTCCACTAAACACCAAAATAAGGCAAGGCATATGTTTTACTGACTTATGGAAGTATGCATATTCATATGTAACACTATCATATTTCCTGTTCAGATCGTCAAAAAATAACTGATTTATTGATTTATACTTACGTACTATCCTTGACTGTTTGGTGGTTTATTTACATTATACATAATATAATCTAATCATGCAAATATAAATTAAGAAAATCAATACGGGGTTTCTACAAAATGTTATTTATTTTAATATCATAACTAGAGAATATCAATAAAAATTAGAATATGTTATTAGTTAGTATTTTAATGAAAATTTTTTAAGTGTTCGGTCATGGTAAGTAATTTAAATAATACAATTATTTAAGTTAACCAAATCACAGTTCATTAGGTTATAATATAAATATTTTTCAAAATAAAAATAAATGTTTTTTACATCGTATTTCGTTATGCGCTTTGATTCTTGTTAGAGTTAAATGTCTGATAAAAACATCGTGAAAACAGATTATTAACAGTTTATAAACTACATCGGTTATCAAGAATCTAAGAATCTAAAAATCAGATAACACATTATCTTATGCATACTAATGAAACAATAAACGATGAATTAAAAAAAAGTCTACATTTTTATTGAACCCGGAACATATGTGATACATTATGAGTATTTGACCTCTCCATTTACATTAAAAGTACTTGCATATTTTTTTTTTGTTTCACGCGCCATTTATGCAGGCGCTTTGCAACTTCTACCAGAGCTGAGTTCTACAACCTTCTCGATCCTTTGTATCTTCAATACTAGTATTTAGTAATACTAGTAAATTTCTTAATATTTTAAGTCATCCTTTTTTCGAATCCATCCAACATTGCCGTGACCTTCCCACGGGTCGTTTTTATTTGACTTGTTAATAAGAACCTGATTATTCATAGTCTAGCCATACATTCTCTAGCTTTTTTGACATCAAAAAGTCTTGTAAATTGGGTGCATTATTATAGTCTGCTTCAATCTTTTCACTGTTTTTTCTTCTCAGATAAGCCAGTATCGGGGTACAGGCTCATATAATTTTCTAAGTATTTTCTTTTCGAAGATCAATAGTTTGTTCTTGTCATCCTGCGTCGTGGACCATGTTTAACTTATAATATATTGTAATATAGTACTATAGCCTTATAATACTAAATATAAGATGTACATTTGAGCAAAATATGATTATGTTTTCTCTTGTAATTTTACGGAATTAGAAAATGAAGGAGGAATTTAATTTAATAAGTTTTAATTAAAATGAAATTATGGTACTACGCGTTATTTAATGTTTTGTTAATCGAGTAAAATAATGAAATAATTACTTCGCAGTGCACATAGAACAAAATATAAATTAAAACCTGAGCATTTGAAAAGATTATTCTTTATGAATTTATTGTAGTATTATGATAATTGTATTCACTTCAAATTAATCGCAGCACATTGTTATACGTTCAAAACGTGTTGAATAAAATACGAGTGTAAGACTATTAATGAAATGGCTACTCAACAAGATTTGTACATACATATAGATTATATATTAATCTACATTACGCTTAATGGGCTTCAAGTTTTATTAAAATTGTAAAATCGTGTACCGTCGATGATTGAAAAAGGTTCGTAATTCATGATGAATGCATGTAATTCTATTGAATAAGATTGATTTTAATTTTTTATTAAAATAATAATTGTTGGTGACTTATATAATACACGTTGAAACTAAAATAAACAAAGAAAAAAAATATCCGGATTTTCAAGACATCGCCTCTATAAATTATTATTAAATGTGAACATTATAAAGATTAAATCATATTTTTGGAACTCAAACTTCCTTTCAAATCATTGAAAGTCTACAAATCCATAAAATATTAAGTCTCACATTTACACTAAAATACATATTCAGTATACATATACAAGTTGTCTTGGATAACATTTTAGATTTGTATAGTCTTTTTCGAAGTTATTGATAATCGAATTTACGGTATAAACATAAAAAGCATTTTAAAATGCAACTTTGGCTAGATAAACATAAGAAACAATTTTTTTTTTTACTCCAACTAACCTAATCACATATTGATCGTTTATAATTGTATAATCCAATTGGTAATAGGTACATGCTTACGTATTTACACTATTAATTTGTAGTTTAGAAGAATAATTGTGTAGATTCGACAAATATATTTTTGTACATTTTATTATACGTTGTACGATTTTGTCACTTATCAATAACAAATAAACTTTTAATATTATTTAGCTGCTTTGGCGACTTATTTTATCAATTTTTAAGTATACAAGCGTTAATCTGCCGCCATTCTATATAACTACTCATGATGACGTTGTAAAATACCTATTCTTCGTGAGATGTTACAAATTCCTCTATTAAAAAATATTTAAACACAAAGAATAAACCACATATCAGGACAATGCTATTGAAAAAAAATAATAAGTGAAAAAAAATATATATCACTTTATTCAATGGCAATATTTTGTGGTTATTTTGTATTGCCTACACATAAAATCTAATAATTTTTCTATATATTAGTAATTTTTGTAAATAATTATGAATTTTTTCGACTTTAAGGTTATATTATGTACGCCCTTTTTCTAAAATAAAAACGTGATGTAATTTTTTTGTAACGTGTCGATTTAGCTATTCCAGACTGTAGTTTAACAATATTCATTTTTATTACACATGTTTAACATTTTTTATTTATTAAATATTTTAACCTATCAAACAATTAAATTATAGCGGAAAAATAAACAATAAGTTGTACGGAAATAAATATATAATTGAGATATTGATC